TTTAACCCTTCACTCCCAGACTTGTCAGCAGGTTTGTCTTTCACTTGAACCACCCGCAGTGTCCTGCTGCTCCTGACTCTGTCCCGGGTGCCCCGATAGTGCAGCTGAGCCAGGGCTATTTTTGCGTTTTCTAGCCTAAATAGCAAGCTGGCTGCAGAGTCAGCTTTGGAGGGAGCTCCCACTTTCTGAGCCAGCAGTATCACTTTTTCTCTGGCCAATGTGATCTTTCCAGCATGCTCTGCTGGGCCGGGGGACCATGCTCCCTGGTGGGCAGAAGGGGACTTCTGTCTTCTTGATGTCTCATTTTGTGTGTTGTGGTTCCACTCTGTTTCCAGTGGTCACGTTTCCCAGCCAGGAAAAGCAGGCAGGTGGAGGAGTTGCAGTCTCTTCTCAGCTCCTTGTAAATCTTGATTTAAGGGAAAAGCTCCCAGGCTTACAGGTTTCAGCAAACCTTACTTCTGTGGTCCCTTTGGGAAAGCCTGAGACTGTTTTAAACACTGAACACAAAGAGGGGGGGTGATAAGGGTGAGGTGAGGTGTTCAGCTGAGGAATAAAGTTGGGGAAATTGCTGGGAGCGGATTGGGAGAGAGCAGCAGGGCTGCAGGGCAAGTGACTTCCCCGAAGTGACCAAAGCTCTTGGTGCTGAGTCACCCCAACTGGGGATGTCTTCGATTTGATGCCTGCGCCCTGGGAACAGGGCTGCCCCGTCGCACAGCGGCTGCAGACCTGGCTGTGGTGGAGTCATCCCTGCGCACCCAGGGTGCTGTACACACGGAGGAGGGTTGTGAAATTGTAAACGTCCTTCTTCAATAGTTCCAAATTCCTTTGGAAGGGGCTTTTTGCATATAAAACCTAACCACTTCAGTCTCACTGCAGTAACAGCAGCCACTTGGCAGAAAGAAGATTTAACTCTCAATAGCTGAGGAGGAGGAGGAGGGATGCTGGGATGATCCAGAAGAATGGACGGTGGGAGCGCGAGGTGGTCCCTTGCAGCAGGGCTGGAGTGACGTTGGCTTCAGCCGGGTTTGGAGGAAGCCTCGTGCTGGACGTGTGAGGCTGGGATGGGAACTCAGCCAGCCATTTCCCCGCTCCCTGGATGCTGGAGGGAGAGGGAGAGTTGTGGGGTATCAGGGGAGAAGCAGGCTGATCCCTGAGCAGGGCGTGAGGGAGGAGGAACGGGCAAAGAGGTTAACCCAGGCTGCTTCCATGCGCGGGCAGCTGCCCGCTGCCCTGTTGGGAGCCGTCCCCTCTCCATGCTGTTCCTGAGGTGGATGGTGAGGATGTGGCAGGTGGTGAGGATGTGGTGGGTGGTGAGGATGCTGAGCACGTCTCTGCTGTGCAGGGGATGGGTGCTGCAGTATTTAGTGGCACAGCGTGTGCCCCTGCTCTGACTCTGCCAGTGGCTGCTTCCACGTTGCATGCTGGGGCAGGACCCTGGGTGCTGGCTGGGCAGGGCTCTGTGAGATGCTCGGTCCCCTGCAGTGGGAGCAGAGTGGCAGCATTTCAGGGGTACAGCCTAAACTGGCTCCTGAACATCTGCTAAAGGACTGGTCACAAAAAAAAAAAAGCAAAGCTGCAGCTCAGGAGGTGTGTGCAGGAGCTGATCAAGCTGCAGCAGGCAGGGAGCAGCCCAGAGGCAGACCCTCTGCCTGCAGTCTTGGTGCCCCTCAGTTTTGCTGTGCTGATGGACGAGCTATGCCAGGCGCTTCGATTGCTGCTCTCCACCCGGCTGCCAGGAAAGACAGGATCAGACCTTGGAGTTCAGCTCCAACTCCCTCCTTGCCAGGACGGGCCCGGCCGATACCTCTGGGAGGTTGTGTCTCCTTCCATGTCGCTCATCCCCATCCTCTGCAGTTTTCTCCCCCGTTGCACCCGGTTCGGGTCGTAAACCCTCTTCCAGGAAGGGAAAGTGTCGGGAAGGGGAGTGCTGCTGGGCTGCTCCCAGAAACGGTTGAGTGGGTAACCCTGTGTCGCAGTAACGAGCCGCTTTCAAAAGGGCATTTTATTTTGATTATCGGTTGCTGTAGCTACGCAGCTGGACCTCCGGCATGCGGTGCGTGTGCCTGTTTTCTGTCAAACGGACTTTCCCAAAGGGATTGTCCCATCCCTGCCAGCCCCGGGGCTGGGAATCTCGAGCCATGGGAGGTGAGGAGGAGGAGGAGGAGGACTGCATTAGCAACCCTCCCTGGGACGGTCAGCCTGCAGAGGGGAATGGAATGAGTCATGGATGTGGGGGCTGTGGGGCAGGACGGTCCGTGGGGGAGCGGAGGGGAGGACAGGCGGACACGGCGGGGCTTCGAGCGACACGTGTAGCTGTTGCTTGAGCACAACGTGTATTGACCAGAGAGGGTGATCCAGGCCCACTTGCCGCGTGCTGTGGTCAGCACCGACGCAGGCGTTCCCTCGCAGGTGGGACAGAGATCTGCTTCGCTGCTGCTTGGCCGGTGTTTTCTCCCCATGGTTTTGTCTCAGATGCCGGGCACGGGCAGGCACGTGGTTCCACAGCGGCTGCACCCTGGGCCCTCCCGAGGTGGCTGCAGTCTGGGGTGGCAGGGGCCACCCCTTGCCCTCCCAGTGTTTCAGCAGCTTGCGCAGGGCTCTTCACCTCCTGGGATGCCTCTGCCAGACACCGTGATTTCCTTGCTGCCCCAGGACATCCTCAGTGCTCGGTGCTGCAGCCGTGAGGCACGGTGGGCACGGGAGAGATTCATCTTCCGCAGGGCTGCAGGCTGCGCCCCCACCCCTGGGCACCCTGGGGCTGCCTGCCACTGCGCCGTCCTCACAGGCACATTCCGACCTCGCTGCTTCTGCCAGCACCTGTGTGTCCTTGGATCCATCCTGGCTGTCCTTCAGGACCACCATCCAGCGGCACCCAGACCCCAAGGTGGTCGCATTGCTCAGGCAGAAGGATTTTTCTGGCTTTGTGGTGGCTTTCCCTGATGTTGTGGTTGACTGATGAAGCCACCCGGAGAACTTGGAAGCAAAACCTTCACAGCCCTTGGCGCAGCCTGGCTGTGACTCATGCTTGGGGTCTGGGTGGTTTTACTTGTGCATGAGAGGAAGCAGAAGTTTCTGTCAAGCCTTTGTAGAATTTTGCGTTTTCTTGTCCACAACCCTGGGGAAAAAGAGGCGTCAGGAGCTGAGCTGGCCCATGGAGGGGCCACTTTGCTTTCCCCACCTGCCCCTGTCTGCAGCACAGCTGGGAGCTTTGGCTGTTTCCACTGGAGGAGTTTTTCCCCAAAATGTAGACAAGAGGTTCAAGCTTTTAGGAAAACGGGATGCTGGGAGCACAGATAGGTCTAATGGTGGCACAGAGAGGATGCTGGGGCCCCTCTGCGCCGGCTCCTCGCCCCCAGAGGTGCGGTGTGGGCGTGGGTGCCCCTTTCTCCTTTTCTGGTGAGCCTGCTGCTAATTTTAGCATCCACTTTACCCCTGCAGCTTGGCCGAGCGGCTGCCAGTGATCCTCCTTTATCGTTGTCGCACTGGGAATTATCTCCCTCTCCTCCTGCCTCTCCGTTGCCTATTTATAAGCACCATGGGCCATTGTCGTTGGGTGCTGCCAGCTCCAAAGGCTTCTCAGCTTTGCTCGGGCTCGTGCCTGGTGGCTTCAGAGCCCCAGCTTCCTCCTCGCTCTCAGCCCCCTTGGCCAGGGAGCTGCTCAAATGCCAGTCACCCTGCCCTGTGCCACGAGCTCCCTCCCAGGGGGGTTCACACCCATGCCAGATCAGCATCCGACTCGGGGTCCTGCCCAGCTGGCCGTGGGCATGAGGGATGTCACAGCAGGTCTGGTTTGGCTGAGGACGTACCATGTGTAACATGGGCAGGGTGTCGGTGAGGCCACGGTATGCGGCGGGGAGAGCGTGGCTGGTGGCTGATGGTCAGCACGGAGCTGGAGGAGAGGAAATGGCTCCTTAAGTCATTAACGTCATCTTCGTTATTATTCCAGAGGAGGCAGGAGGCTGCCTGGCTCCAGGGACCGGGTTAAAGTCCCTGAGCCCTCCGGCTCCCCTGGTGAGGGAAGGGGGGCTGTGCTGCCACGGCCGGCAGCAGCACGGGTATGTGGAGGTGTGAAGTCAGCCGGGACTGAGTTGTGGGCAGGATTAGCCCCAGGGCTCTCAGCAGAAACACTCAGAGAGCAGCTTTAATGCTTGGAGAAAGCTTTAAATTCCCTTATCCCACAGGGAAAGCAAAATGCTTGAATTCTTTTGTGGTTACCTTTTGGACGTTGGTGTCCGACAGGAGGAAACAGCCTTTGTGTGCACACGCGTGTTTTCCACCTGTGCTTGGGAAGGAAAATGAAAATGCTGAATTTTTTGACTTTAAGCGAAGAGATGGACAGGGGAGTTAGCATTCCGTCTTCCTAACGCCACCTGTGTGCCTGCAGTCCCTCGCATTGCTCAAGTACAAGTTCCCCTCTAAGCTGGGTGGCCTTGGGGTGCGCGGGAGTGTGTGTGTCTGCGTGTGCAGGGTTACGGGGCCGGTTCGAAAAGCCAATCCTGGATCCGCTCAGGTCACTGCAAGTAAGAACTTAATAGGATTCAGATCTCGGAGAGAATCTGCAGCTTGGAAAGCAATAAACCTCTGCATTATCACCTATGCACGGTGCTTTCCTCCAGCAGGACTGGGAGCCTGTGCAGACGTGCTGTCTCTTGCGGGGCAGCAAGGGAGGTGATCCAACAGTGCCACCGTGCATTGCTGTTTGCTGCTGCCCTGTGGCACTGGGCTCGAGCTCCTGCATGGTTCTCACGGTATTTTGAGGTTCTGCTTCCTGTGGTGTATTTTGGCAGGTGCTGGCTGGGACCCTGCAGAGCCCCGTCCCTGGGGTGGGCACAGGAGAAGGGCGGTGCTCTCAGGGCTTCCCTGGTGCCGCAGGAGCCCTTGTCAGATGGGTCCCTCCATGGGGCCTTGCCAGCTGGGATTACACGTCCGCCTGCATCGTGCTGTTGGTGGGCTTTTTCCTTTTCTAACCTCTGTTTTCCTCTGTTTCCCCTCTCCCGCTCTCTCGGCAGACCTGTCGGCGGCCAAGCGCAAGTTTGCAGACTCCCTTAACGAGTTTAAATTTCGCTGCATTGGCGACGCTGAAACAGATGACGAGATCTGCATCGGTGAGTCGTGGGTGCTGGTGCCAAGGGGTAGCCCTGAAGCCACGCTCCAGACCCCTGAGCTGAGCAGGGCACGGGGGCAGAAACACACACGAGGACGCCAAGGGTCCCAGGGATTTGTCTGGGTCCTTTCCTGCTCTCTGGAAATGGCATGTTTCTCCTGGTGCAACAGCGGCAAAGCCTTCCCGAGGAAATCAGTTCTTGCTTCTTGGCCTAAATCTAGCTCTGCCAGATAGGAAGGGCTGTATCTGAAACCATCTAGATTATCCATCCCTTTCCCACTGGAGAGCAGGGATCTGGAGATCTGGCCACGGCGAAATACACTGCAAGGGGCTGTGCTCTGGAGGAGAGGAGCAGCAGCCTCGCTGGCTGGCTGCAGGAGCAAAGGACCCAGCAGGGCTCAGCAGTGCAGAGCCTGGCAGTGCTCTCCAAACGGAGCCCAGCTCCAGCACAGAGCCTCTCATGGTGCAGGGCAGCAGTTTCAGCCACTTCACTCCGTGTTATCCTGCTTCTGCCCCAGATGAACTTTTAGAGCTTATAGTGTGCATCGTCTGGAGCCAGGAAAGGAAAAGAGCTTTAGCCCTGATTTAACTTTGCTTATTTATTTGTGCCCAGTCTCTCAGCAAAAATAGCTTTCTCATCCAAGTCCCCTTGCTGTGATGCGCATGCTGGTGAGCTGCCGCTGGTGCACCAAGCGCGGCTGAGGCCCGTGCTGAGCCATAGGGCTGATCGGCCACTGGCCATTGGGTCGGGCAGGTTTGAAATGGAGGTGGGAACACGGTGCTGGGGATGCTCTGCTACCCGTGGCTTTTGTAGGCAACACTCTGAGGAGAGAGCAAAGCTGATAAAAAAACCCCAAACAACCAACCCCTACAAGACACAAACAAACCAACCCCCCCCCCCCGTCCAGTCTCCCTCTTAATTTAAAAAGAAAATAAAATGTTGTTAAATGCTGACTGTTTGGCCGTGTCCCTTCCAGCCAAATCTCTGCAGGAGTTCGCCACGGTGCTGCGGAACCTGGAGGATGAGCGGATGCGCATGGTACGGCCCCGTCCACCGGGAGTGGGGTGGGTGGTGGCATCGCTGCTGCTGGCGCAGGCGGCTCTGCCCGTGGTGGGTGCCATGGTTCCTGGGGTGTGCTGCGAGCCCCGGTGCCCCTTCCCTTGCCAGGGGAGAGTCGCAGGGGAGAGCAGAGGGAGGGGAGAGCGGACTTGGTGGGGAAGCACGCTTGAAGGGCATCAGTATGGTGTCTTGCTGTTGGAAAATGGCCAGTGCCGGCGCTGGTAAGGCTCACTGGGGTGAGGAGCAGGTTTGGTGCAAGCCCCTCAGCCTCCCCCTGGGCCTCAGCCAGTGCAGAGCCAGAGGGGGCGAAGCGTGCGGGTCTCTGTGGGCTGCAGGGGGGTTTCTGCCTGGGGCTGAGCTGGGCCAAAGGTGGCGGGTGAGTTGTGCCTGTCCTTGCCCGCAGATTGAGAATGCCAGCGAGGTGCTGATCACGCCACTGGAGAAGTTTCGCAAGGAGCAGATCGGGGCCGCTAAGGTAAGCTGCTGCTGCACCCAGACGCTGTCTGTGCTGGAGGGCCCTGCTCGGGCTCAGGAGCAGAGCCCAGGGCTGCACGGTGGTGGGCACGGTGGTGGCTGGGACCCGGTGTGCTGCAGGGATGGGCCCTGCAGGGTGTGGGAGGATGGGGTGTGCTGCTGTGGGATGGACACGGGGACGATCCAGCTCCCAGGAAGGTGCCTCGGTGTTCCAAGTTCACCCACAACCAAATAACACGCCAAGGGCCAAAAACCACGGGCCAGTTGAAGGGAACTTTTTTTTTTTATTTACTCCAAGCAAGAATTAGTATTTTCTTAAAGGGGTTCCCAGTTGCCTGAGCCCCCTGGTCTGTGCTCCCCAGCCCTGGTGTGTCACTGGGCAGGAATTTGTCTGGCTTCTGGCAGGACGGGTGAGCCCGGGGAAGCACTGATGTGGCTGAGAGGCAGCCTGCCCCCCCTCCCTTTTCTTTCCTGCCTTTGTTCTGAAATTAAAACCACTGTCTGCGTCTCTCCTGTTGTTATAACAACCTGCTGCTGCCTGCAAGAAGCACATGCCAGCCCGGTGGGGCCGTGTTTGCATGGCAGCGGTGTGCTGGGCTGCCCCGTGCAGCACAGGCTGCCCTGGTTCATGCAGCTAAAATAAAAAGACGAAACTGGGTCCTTCAGAAAGGACCCAGAAATGAAAACTGGTTATTAGCAGGTGTCAGCGGTGGATTCTGTACTGGTGCGTTGGGGTGGCGAGGCTGGGATGAGAGGTGCAAAAGGAAAGTTAAGGTCGACATCCTCGTTTTCAACGCTCCTGCCACAAACAGCCAAATGACTGTGTCATCGTCCCGAGTGACACGTGGGATAAGCCGTTGTGAGGGGTGGCAGGCTGGGGTGCTGGTTAGCAAGGATTTTCCTCACTGTGTTGTCTTTGGATCAGCCCTGAGTCTGGATGTTTTGCTGAGCTTTGGGCCCTGGGAATAGAGGAGGGGCTCCCCCAAGGCTTGGATTTTGGCAGCGTAAGCTGCTTTCCTGTAGCTGACGGATGGTCATGGATAAAAGCAGCTTCGCTTGCTTCCAGCTGATGCCCCTTGGCCTTGGTCCCGTCTCGTGCTGTGCAGAAGGGGGTTAGCTCCTGCCCAGGACTTGTGGTCTTGCCTGGTGCCGTAGGGATGCCATGGATCCTCAGGGCTGCTGCGGTGCTGTGTTCAGCATCACGCTTTTTGTTCTGTTTTGTAGGATGCCAAAAAGAAATACGACAAGGAGACTGAGAAGTATTGTGGTGTCCTAGAAAAGCACTTAAACTTGTCTTCTAAGAAGAAAGAATCCCAGCTTCAGGAGGTGAGAGCAACCTCTGGTTTTCCATGTCTAGCTGTAACTGTGGTGAGCTTTTTGAACGCTTTGTGCAGCTTATAGCATCGGTTCTCCTGGCTGTAAACTCATTTTTTCCCCTCATTCTGGCTGCGAGTGACGGGTTTTCCCCTCTTCCTCTAATCACAGGGGATGGAGCTGTTCTGGTGAGTAAATCAGAGAGATCCCAAAATGGATAGCAGTCCGAAAGGAGAGGGAGTTTGTAATTAAAGAGTGTAACAGAAAGGAACTGGTTCTGCTGCAGGCTTCCCTTGTGCCAGCACAGATCACAGATGTCAAGTTTCCTTCTCTGCAAGTGGCTGCACTGGCTTTGGGCTTCATGGGAGGAGTGATCAGGCTTAGTGCTTTTAAACTGCTTTAGGAGCCTATTACTGACTCAGGACGTAGTTGGCTGCTGTGCCAAATGCTCTTACTGGATGAGTACGCTGAATTTTCAATCACTTCTTGCAAGTTTGGAATTCCCCACAGTGGCCCGGAGCTGGGCTGGTCCCTGCAGGATGCACATCCTTGGTTTTGGGCATGCTGCTGGTGTGCTGCTGAGCCGGTTCTGGAGGAACTGGTGGGCACAGGTGGTGGCTCCTGCGCCAAGATAGCTGAGGTGGTGGTACGGTGCCCAGCGGAGCTGGGGACTCAGGAGAGCAGATGTGTCTGTGGCACAAACAATCATCTTCCACCCAGTCAGGGTTGAAGAGGGGTAAGAATGAGGGTCGACGTGCCTGCAAGCCAGCTTTGTCCTTGCATGTGTGTTCTGGGTTTGCCAATAACTTACCGTGTGGAAGCACCCAAACGTCCCAGAAGATGGAGAGTCCTGTTCCGAAGGCTTTTAAATAACCCTTTAAACCTCTGTTGTAGTTTGTGTTTGAAATACTGCTGTGAGACAGGGATGGAAGGATTTCTTTCTGGGAAGGGAAGGAGCCACTTGTGGCTGTCGGGTTGCAGCGGTGACTTTTAGAGGTGTGATCTCGTGCCCTGGGCAAAGTATGGCCCTGCGGGGCTGCCTGGGAGCCCAGGGCAGCAGGCGGTGGGGCGCTGTGCGGGATGCGATGTGGGATGTGGCTGTGTGCGGGATGCAGGCAGCGGCTGTGTGCGGGGTGCTGTGCGGGGTGCAGCGGGGGCTGCTGCTGCTAGTGCATGTTGAGCAGTACTGGCTGCTGGTGCCATCTGCTGGCATTTCCCACCCCAAACTGACTTTTTGCTGGGAAGGCAGGAGGAGGCTGGAGCCAGCCCGAGCCAGCTCCCAGTCCAGGAGGTAGGGCCTTTCCCCCTGGGGCACTAGTACACTGGTTTTGGTGGCTCAAGCCCCGCCGAGGAAGGGGATGCCTTTGAAAGAGCAGCCCAGCGGGTCGGTTGTGAAACGTTGGATGTGGCATCCAGCGGGGCGGGGGAGCGCTCGCCCCCTCCGGCACCTCCCCGTGGTCCCTGCGTGCCAAGGGGCTTTGTGGGCAGGGGCTGCAGCCAGGGCAGATGGGCCTGGGAAAGGTGCTGATGGGATGGTGGCGTTTGAGGGAAGTTGCCACCACCCGTTTATAAGCAGTCTGAAACTTCACTAGATGCCCTGATGTCCTAAGAGAAGAGTTTGTGTCCAGGAGAGGTGATGTTTTATGTTTCCTTACATCCTCTTGCTGTCTACATCTGGAGGGTGATCGCGGCCACATGTGCAACTGCTGCGGCGCGGTGGGGAGAGGAGGAAACCATGGGAATTCTCTGCTGCTTTGGCTGTTGACCAATTAAATAACCCACAGCGTCTAATCTGCCATTTAACTCCTGGCAAAGTTATTTGATTGCATCATATTTTCTGCTTTTCAGAGCTCCGTTTGCGAAATACCTCAGCCTCCAGCCCAAATGCTGGTGGCAGGTCATGGGGAGAACGGGCCATGTCATAGCTGTGGGGCACAGAAAATCAGGAGTAAGCCGCTGTTCAAATGCAAGCGGGTGTCCAGCCCTGGTGAGGTGTGTGGTACAGCGGATCCTTCTCCCTGGAGGTCCGGCTCTGCCCCAGGCAGTGAGGGTCACGCTGGCAAGGGCACCCCACTGGCCCCAGCCGGGACAGAGGAATTTGCCTCCTGTTGAGCAATGGCTCAATGGTGGTTTGCACTGGGGCTGAGGCACCTTGACCAGCTGAGTTCACTGGCGCTGAGGTCAGAGCGATGGTGGGTCGCCCAGACCGACCTCGCCGTGGGCTCCGCCGGCATTGGTGACCCCCCGGGTTGCTCTACATGAGGTGTCACTTGCAGACGTCGCAGCACCGTGTGCCAGGGATACCCATGTCCCTCACCCTGCCTTCCTCAGGCGTGATGAGCTTATTTTCACACGCTGGGATTGGGGCATATCCCTGTTTTTACTCACGTGGGCTTTACCTGCAAAGCAGAGGGGATTTGGTCTCTGCTGATCCACCAAAGCGATGCGCTCACTGGAGAGGGTGGTGGGGTGCATGTACTGCCCAGTTGGGCCCCAGGACGCTCCGGGCAGGCTCCTCTTGCGGTGCTTTCCAGAAATCGCCTTTTATTGTCAAGTATGCAGCAACTTCTCATTTTTCTCACTTCTACTGTGAGCTTTTCCACGCAGCTGTCAGGGAGGTGAGAACACGAGCTGTTTTTCAGCTGAAGAAAGAGCTGTGCCATCTGTGCAGCCCTGGACTGGGGTCCAAAGCTGAATTTGTTCTGCACAGACGTTTTTCCATTAGACTCGTGTGTCCTCTGCTTGCGAGGCCAAGCGCTCCCGGTCAGTAGTAACTTCGTATTTCCCCTTTAATCTCCCCGGCGCTTGCAGGCAGACAGCCAGGTGGACCTGGTTCGGCAGCATTTCTATGAAGTCTCCCTGGAGTATGTCTTCAAGGTGCAAGAGGTCCAGGAGAGGAAGATGTTTGAGTTTGTGGAACCTGTGAGTGAGCGCTCACCTCCAAAAAATGGGGGATTGTGTGGAGGAGCCGGGGCTTGGGGGGAGCAAGGCTGCGGCGTGGGGCATCCCTGCGGTGGGGTGGTGCGGGGGCTCCAGCCTCACCTTGCAGCCCCTCTCAGAGAGAGAGATTTGAGGGGAGCAAGCACCCCTGTGAGCTGTGGGGCACGGAGCCATTAGCTTGGGGGCCATGGGCATGCTGGAAACATTTCGGGTTTTTTTGTGCAGACATCTCTGTCATGGTGGGCTGGACTTTGGGGCCTGCTGGCAATTAAAAGAAAACCAGGCTTGATTGGGAAAAAAAACCCAAAAAACTGTAATGTTCGCAAGGGGGAAAGTGCAGGAGCGACAGAAATAGGAAAAAAAAGAGATTTTTCTAAGGTCTACCTCTTCTCAGGTGCTTTAAAGCCCCTCTGGGAAGTGCCAGACCTCTCTGCCTCTTGGCAAAGGTAATTACTGCTGGGCAAAGAGTAACTCGGAGTCAGGGAGAGGCGCAATGCAGGGATCAGCAGCAGATCAGCAGCGTGCTGCCTGCTTTCCCGACGCCTCCCAGCTCTGCTCGTAGCGACCCCAGGACTTGGGTGAGGCAGGGAAGGGGGAGAGAGGGGATGAGGGGTCCTGGGGCAGGGGCTTGCCTTGGCTTTGGGGAAACGAGGCACAGGCTCATCTTTGGGGTCCGTTCAAAGGAGGTTTTGAAAGTGAAACAAGGAACAGGGCATCCAATAGGGACTGCCAGCAAGCCCCTCCACCCCTGGGGAGCTGCAGGGACGCTTGCCCTCGGCAGCGGTGGCTCTGAAAGCGGCTGTGGGTCTCTACTGACCGTCTTGATTCGTTTTACCCCAACGCAGCTGCTGGCCTTTCTGCAGGGGCTTTTCACCTTCTACCACCACGGCTACGAGCTTGCAAAGGACTTCAGCGATTTCAAGACAGAGCTGACAATCAGCATCCAGAATGTAAGTGCCGTGTGCCCCTGCCACCGTGCCGTGTGCCTGTTGCCGTGACTGTCCTGCAGAGCTAACTAACCCTTTTGATATATTTTAATAAGGATTTTATTCTCCTTTTTTCGGTGTGCCGTTAAGCAAAGGCTTTGACTGCGTTGTTGAAAGCAAATTCTTTTTTGTAAATAACACAGCATCGTACACACAGCCTACGTGGCAGCTCGTTCCCTCCGGCATACCACACGCAGAGGCCCAGCTTCCCCAGGAGTCAGCCAGCGGGCAGGCGTTGTTGCGTGCCCTGTGATTTTAGTGAGTGTTTCAAACAGTTTTCCAAGTGTTTCGAAGTGCTGTTCGTCCTGGGAAGTGCAGCACTTCTTGCCGTCCCCGTCTCCAGGCGGTGGAGTGGAGCCCTTCTGCTGGCTGCGGCTGCGGCCAGTGTGCATGGTGCCCGCCCATCGGACGTGTCTGCAGGGCTTTGGCATGTTGGCATTGCAGCTTTGCTGTCCTGTCTTGCCATAAAATTACTCTTTTTCTCCCAAGGATTCAGACTAATTTCATTGTTTTGAAACAGCTTTTTCACGAAACTCCTAATACAAATAACTTGCCAGTTTTCGTAATATTTTTCTTTTAGCTTAAATCCAGGCCCAGGAAGAAAACTTTTTCTGTGGCTGGCAGTGGTCTCCCCTGGTTCTATTTCCCACTCAGGCTGTGGTGACCCAGCTCTGGGGTCCCACCCCTGCGTGGTGCCTCCTCGCCGCAGAGGAGGCCCCGTTGGGTCCACGCATTG